AGTTTAGGCTATTAATAGTAGCATTAAGGAAAGACTTCCATATTTTGCTTGTGAGCTGCCTGTCCTTTCTCACCCTGTCTTCCCTCTCAGCTAAATTATGTTATATGGTGGCTAAATGAAATGTGAGGAACAGCAGAACAGATCACAGCTTAGATCAGATATTTCCAAAGTGGCTTGAGGACAGCTGACCATTACTTACTTGCAACACACAGTAAACAGAGATGAAGGTTAAATGTGAGGCTTTACTACCCAGAAGATATCAATCTTTTATGTATACACAGAGGAAATAGCAACTGCATTTCACACAAGCTGGGAATTTGGTTCCCAGGACAAAACCACCCAACCTATGGTTTCAAACATCTCTTCAGATTCTTGGAGCTCTGCCTCCAGAGCAATGGCACTGAAGTCATAAACACTCGCATGTTGCTGCCCACACTGAACACAGGATTTGTGTGGCTGAAGCTGCCAGGCTCTGACACTGGTCATAACACTTGGAAAGACATGGACAGACATGGAGAGAATGTCTTGGATGGACTGAATGTCTCTCCCACCCCCTGCAGCACTTCTCTATTTATTCTTTGCCAGGATCTCAAGATACCATTTCTCAACAGAAACCTGAGGTTCATATCAAAGCCTCCATTTACACTGGATTGCACAAAATGCCTCCAAAACTGCCTCAGCTTTATCTGAAGTCAACATCAGCCTTAATTTTTTGTTTTACTCTTTATTCTTTATTTATTTATCTAAAACCTACTGAAAGAGGCTCTGAAACCTTGTGTACCAGTTTTGTCCCTTCAGGTTCCAAAGCAAAAAGCAGTTTTTCATAATAGTTAACATTAAAGAAATACTGAGCCTGTTGGTCTTTGGGGATTTCTTGAGGGTATTTTCTTTAAAAAAATCAAAATCATATTTTAAACTTTTTCCTGAAAGTTGAAAGCAATTTGTTGATCCTTGAGAAACAGAGGAAAAATTTAGAAAAACTCTATCTGCCATTCTGAATTTTTTTTTAGGGAAAAAAGTCAAAATCAGTTTCTCTTAGCAAGAACCAACTTTGCTGTTCATGCATAAAGCTATGATGAAATATATTGTAGCATCTTGCCATCATGAAATATGAATACTACTCTGTTAAACTCTTCAGCACATAGATGAGACTGATGACACTATTCCAGAGGAAGTCACTTGTCACTCAAGATGTTTTGTCTCACTCTTATGAAGTTGACTCAGCATAATTCAACTGATGATTCATTATTTTGCATATTATTTCAAACCTCAGTCCTGCACAAGGATCCTCCTATATCAGGTGCAGCATGAGCATGGAACAAGGAGCACCTTCTGCTTCCAAGAGCTCCTAGTCCTTGTAGAGGGCTGGAGAGGCAGATGGAGACAGATGGAGGGCAAGACTAAAGGAACCAGCCAGGACATGCTGACAGGCTTCAAGTAACCTTTACAGCCAGGGAGAGATTTAACTGTGACTGTGTCTCCATGATATTCATACAAAAAAAAAAAAAAGCTCCAAAAGATTTTAAGCATCCTATGCCCATTCCTGACTATTTTTCCAAGTGAGATAAGATGTGGGAAAAGGAGAATACTGAAATAAAAAGAGCTTGTTGGAGGCCATGAGTGGTGCAAGGTCCCCAGGGATCCTTGGGAGAAGCTCCGCAGCAGTTTGTATGTGGGGAGAGGGTCAATCTTTGAGCCATCTGCCAAAAAGCTGGAGAAGCCCTAAGCTGCATCAGACTGTTCTAGGATGAAGCAGTGGGAAGTAAAAATATATTGAAACCTGGTCTTTTAGTTTTACCTTGCTCACCAGATGTATTTTGGAAAATAATTGCAAGCTGCCAGGAAGATCTGGTCTCTTACACTTGCAAGTTTTTCTCCAGCCTCATTTGAAGTGGGAGAAGTGGATGACTAGAGTTAAAAGTTTCTACACAAACACATCTTAAGTTTCCCAGGATTTTCTTTCCTAGCAGAGTTGTGCACAGCCCCCTACTCCACTGGGACCCTTGCACTTCTAAAACCCTACGCGCCACACCTTCACCTTCCAAAGCCCTGGGTGCCACCAAGTGCTCACCCCGGGCCCGGAGCAGCAGCTGCCCTCACCCCGGACTGTGCCTGCCTTTCCTATCTCTGCTCTTCTACATCTTCCCTCTTTGCAGTCTCCGTCCTGTCCACCTCTTCCCTTTGCATTCCTCCTCTTTGCAACTCTGCCTTTGCATCCCTCCCCTTTGTATCCCTCCCTTTTCACCTCCCCCTTTGCACCTCTCTCACTTACATCCCTCCCCTTTGCCTCTCTGCCCCCTTCTCATCTCTGCCTTTTCCCATCCCTCCCCTTTGCATCTCTACTCCTCGCATCTCTGCCCCGGTACATCCCCTGCCCCTCTGCATCTTCTCCCCCTCGCCCCCTTGTCTGCTCGGCTCTCAGCCCTCCGGGCATCTGCCCCTGGCGCCCTCCACTCCTCCCTCCCTCCCGTTTGCACCCCCAGCCCTTCCCATCTCCGCCTCGCTGCCTCCCTGCGCTCTCGCCCCCCCCCGCTCCCCCGCAGCCTCCGGGGCAGTCCGCAG